TATTTGCAGACGTGGTACAAGGAATGGCTGTAACTGCTATTACTTGGTGTAGTTTCTCTCTTGCACTTTCACCCTTTCACCATCAGGGTGAAAACCAACCCTGGGTACTAACCGACCTTAACAATGATTAGACACCTGGGGTAGACCTGCACCCAAGCAGAGTCATACAACCAAGCCCAGCTAACCTGCAGCCTGAAGCAGAGGCAGCCAAGTCCAGTCTAACTCGAATCAGAACTGACTTGCAGACTTTGTCTGAGAATAAATGCTGCTCACTGAATTTGAAGGAGATATGTTATGTGGCATTGTTATAGCACCTGTTAGGCTGTTAGAGAATCTGTTTAATGTTTAGGATCTTAAAAATATAATGATTAACTTAATTCTACAACTATTCTCCCATGCTATAGTTTGCTTTGGGTTTTTTTTTAAAGATTTATTTATTTATTTGAAAGTCAGAGTTACACAGAGAGAGGAGAGGCCTGCTTTCCCAGGCCATAGCAGAGAGCTGGATCAGAAGTGGAGCAGCTGGGACTTGAACTGGTGTCCATTTGGGATGCCGGCACTGCAGGCGGTGGCTTTTACCCACTATGCCACAGTGCCGGCCCCTTGCTTTGTTTTTTTTTGATGGTTTTTAAAATGATGCATAAGGAAACTTTCAATTTTAGCTAAATTTGTCTATTTTTCTACTACTTTTGAGCCTAAACAGTCCTTCCCAATTCTGAGATTCAGTAATCAATTTCATTTTCCGTTTTTGTAAAACATCTTAAATATGTAATTCTGTCATCTACAGAGGTCCACTATTCATTCCTAGATTCTCTTATTTGTCCTGAGTTCAGTGTAATATATGTGGGAGTACTAAAGCTAATTCTATTTCTAATTGGGAAGATGTTTACATTGAAAATTCATTAAGATTTTATAAGTAGTTACCCTTTTCGCTAACTTCAATTTTATTTCAAATTTGTAATTAAATTAGCATACCAATTTAACTATTCCAATTACATTGTGTTTAACCAAGCTGAAATTAAGCTTTCATTTGCTGCCCAATTCCTCCGGAGAATTTAAATTTACCAGAACCTTCTAGTAATCCAGATCTCTCTGTTCCTCATTAGCCAAAATAATCTAGTTGCTAGTAAAAAATGTTTATTCCCATCTTCTTGATTATTTTGTATCCTCTTGTATTTACAACTTGGAATTGAAGGATGCATGTTTCGTGGGTAAAAGGACTAGGAAAATGTGTGGACAGCATTTCCATCCTGAAGGTCCCCTGGCCTGGGTAAATGTCTGTGGAGCTGTCCCTCACTCTTTCCATGGTATTTGTGGCTCTTCTTTCCGTGATTTGTGGCTACGGGTAGGACTTGCATTCTGTGTACTGTGGTTTACATGTTTGCTCACCCCAGTTGGCTCAGTTAAACCATAGTCATTTCTGGAGTCTATCACCTACCTTTGTGCTTAGCACACAGAAGATGTCAGCACACATCGATAGATTAATCTGCTGATTGTAAGTTTATGCTGAGTGGTGTTAAAGTGGGCAGCCCCTTTGCTTAACTTGTATTCTCCTTCTGAAACAGTTAGACCATGCCAACATTCAAGTCACTTCAACTCTCTTTTTTGAAAGATATTTTACACATTTTTTGAGAAATAGAGTTACAGAGTAAAGGAAAGACAGAGAAAGGTCTTCCACCTGCTGGTTTACTCCCTAAATGGCGGCAATGGCCACAGCTGAGCTGGCCAGTAACTTGTTCCAGGTCTCCCATGTGAGTATAGGGGCCCAAGCACTTGGGCCATCCTCCCCTGCTTTCCCAGGCCATAGCAGAGAGTTGGATCGGAAGAAGGGCAGCTGAGACAGGAACTAGACCCATAAGGGATGCTGGCACCACAGGTGGAGGCTTAGCCTACTACTACGCCACAGCGCCAACTCCATCATGTCAACTCTTGTTGAAATAGTCATTCTTTTCCATTTCTCACTCTAGGCAGTTTTGGAGGGCCCAAGCACCAAAAAGTGGTTAAGAAAGGAGGGATTTTCAAAGATTATCTGTAGTCTCGAAAGCTGATTTTCTAGCCATGGAATATATTGGATTGAGGTGATGGGCCTTGGAGTCTAACTCTTCCCCGCAATACCCAACCCAGGGCATTGTTCCTCTGGGCTGCAATTTCATCGTCTGTAAATTGCAATGTGTCATCTTGCTGCACAATCTGCTCAATCCTACAACTTTTGTTCTTTGCAAAACTAATCAGGGTTAGGGACTTTCATCAGGTGGTCACACTGCGTGGTGAAAGAACTTCAAGTCAGGAAGAACTAGCATTGAGTCCAAACCCTCAGCTACTAGTGGAACAACTTCAGGCAAGTGGTTTAACTTCATTGAGCCTCGGTTTCCTATGGAAGCATGACACCTGCCTTGCAAAGCTGCTGTGAGATTCAAACGGAATTAAAATTCAAAGGTGGGTGCAGGGCATGCCACTGTGCTTAGCACAAAGTCAAGTCTATACCAGAGCTCGTTGTGTGAGTCACATACACCCTTGTGCTTTTCACTTCAAATAGTGTGGAAGGTATGATGAACAGATAACTTCATGGGGCTGGCATTGTGGTGTAGCAGGTTTAGCCTCTGTCTGCAACGCTGGCATCCTATATGGGCGATGGTTGACGTTCCAGCTGCTCCTTCTTATCCAGCTTCCTGCTGATGTGCCTGGGAAAGCAGTAGAGGATGGTGCCATCCAAGTGGGAGACCTGGAGGAAGCTCCTGGCTCCTGGCTTTGGCCCCGCCCAGCCTCAGCCATTGCAGCCATTTGGGGAGTGAACCAGTGCATGGAAGATGCCTCTCTCTGTGTAACTATGACTTTCAAAATAAATAAATTTTTTAAAAAGATAAATTCATTTGGTGCAAAAAAAAAATGAACTCATGTTCCATGCATGAACCTTTGTCCAGTGAGTTGTATAAGCTCATTTTTCACTGTTCACTTTTGTCTCATGTCCATCACACACACACAAAGGTGTCATCCCGGTCCACCCTGCCCCGCCACCCCCCACACACGGTGGGATAGGAACAGAATAGTTTTGTTTCTTTTTCTTTTCTTTTATTTTCTTTTATTTATTTATTTGACAGGTAGAGTTACAGACAGTGAGGGAGAGAGACAGAAAGGTCTTCCTTTGGTTGGCTCACCCCCTCAAATGGCCACTATGGCCGGAACTATGCCTATCCAAAGCCAGGAGCCAGGTGCCCCCTGCTGGTCTCCCATCTGGGTACAGGGGCCCAAGCACTTGGGCCATCCTCCACTGCCCTCCTGGGCCACAGCAGAGAACTGGACTGGAAGAGGAGCAACCAGGGCTAGAACCCGGCACCCACATGGGATGCCAGTGCTGCAGGTGGAGGATTAGCCAAGTGAGCCATGGTGCCGGCCTTGACGGAATGGTTTCGGTAAAATCATTGACAAAAAGAGAAGGTACCTTAGAGGCAGTGATTTAACAGCTAAATATCGAATTTTCCACAAGGTATTCTCCCAATTTCCAATAAAATAAAACATGACCAGATACATAGAACTTGAAAACAAAAGCCATTAAGTTCTTCACACTCTGGACAAAGGTAGTATTAATAAGTGGTCCTACTCCAATAATTTTTAAATAATATGCAGGGTGGGTATTTGGCACAGAAGTTGACAGCACTTGGGAAGCAAGAACTGTGGTACCAGTGGGTCAGGCCGCCACCTGTGATGCCAGCATCCCATACGAGTGCTACTTGGAGTCCCAGTGCCCAACTTCTGATGCGGCTCCCTGCTAATGCACCTGGGAAAGCAGTGGATGACAGTTCAAGTGCTTGTGCCCCAGCTCTCTTGTGGGAGACGTACATGGAGCCCCAGGCTTCTGACTTTGGCCTGGTATGGCCCTGGGCCATAGTGGCCAATTAGGGAGTGAACCATCGGATGGAAGACCTCTCTCTCTCTCTCTCTCGTTCTCTCTCTCTCTCTCTCTCTAACTCTGTCTTTCAAATAATAAACCTTAGAAAAACAAAAACAAGGCTTCAGAAGCCCCCACATCCCCACATTACAAATCGAAGTGCCTGGGTTCGAGACCCGGCTCTGATCATGAGTTCCAGCTTCCTGTGAATGAGCACCCTGGGAGGCAGCAGGTGAGGGCTCAAATGGTTGGATTCCTGCTGCCCACGTGGGAAACCTGGACAGGGCTTCCAGCTCTTGGTTTCAGCCTGGCACAGCCCCAGCTGTTGCTGACATCTGGGAAGTGAACCAGCAGATGGGAGATCTTGCTCTGTATCTCTCTCTCTGCCTTTCAAATAAAATGCAAATCAACAAGAAAAGTTTTAAAGATTATAAAGACTATTTCACACACCACAAGCAAGATTGCAAATGGCCCAGTAGGACCAGTTTTTTTTTTTAAGCACCAACTGTTCGCAGGGTCGTTTCTGCTGGACTTTATATCTTAGATCTAGATGGTACAGTTTTCCTTTGAAGCAAGCAGTTCGCTTTGGAACTGGCCAAACACACAACTGACTTCAAAAGCCCAGAGGGTTAAATCGCGGTCTCCCATTGGGGCTTGCCAGCCTTGCAGGAGCAACGCCCAGTCTGCCCAGCAGAGGGCATCAGGCCCCACGGGGAAGCCCTGTTTACGCAGATAGGGCTCCACCGCAGGGTCCGAGCGGTGGTCTGGAGCCCCGAGGGGTCCGCGCTGCAGGCCCTTTGTAACAACGGCATGAGGACCTGGGCAGGGGCTTCCCTTGCCCGGCGGTGTCTCTCTCGTGCCGACCACTGTCCTCGGGATGCTCGCGGGCTGGGTGCGGACAGCTGGGGCGCAGGGCCCGGCCTTGTGCCTGAGCACGCAGAGGGCCGCGCCTGGTGGGACCCCGCGGGGCAGCAGCGGCCGGCCCACGTCCTCCGGGCTGCAGAGGGCGGCCGGACAGCGAGGGCGCCCAGGCGCCCACCCCCCTGCGCAGTCGCTGTTGTCCCCTGGGAATTCACTTACAGACACACACACACACACACACACACACCCATACAACCATAAGAAGTATTCTGAATGGCCGGAGGATGACCGCAGCCCCTCTCCTGCCCGGTTCCTGTCCGCTTTCAGATCTCCGCGCCGACGTCACCGACGCCACAGCGCCCCCTCCAGGCAGGGAGTCGCTCCGCAGGTGTGTTTTTACCTCAGCCCCCTGCCGGGTTAGCTTTTGCCAGGTGCCCGCTGACTGAAAGGCGCCTGTGTGTGTGTGTGTGTGTGTGTGTGTCGGGGGTCTTCACAGCCTTCCCCAGCCTGGGCGGACCCTCAGATGAGGAGATGAGAGTGGCCGGGCAGCCTCAGCCCCCTGCCAGACGCGAGGCCGGATGTGGACGAGCCCCCGCGCTGGGGCGCAGATTCGCTGTGCAGAATGCCAGCTTCACAGCTGGTCGGCCGTGTGCGGCGGGGAGCGAATGCCGGGGTGCCCTTTAGAAGGGTGACAGGCTCACCGCCCAGGGTTCTGGAGGCGGGGAGGTTCCGGGTCCAGGGCGTGGCGTCCGGGGGAGGGCGCCGATGCTGCCACCCCGCGGTGGAAGGCGGAAGGGCAAGACAGCAGGAACGGGGCAGAGAGAATGGGGCCGGACTCGTCCTTAGCCGGTCAGGTCGCCTCACTGTTCCGTTCATAAAGGCAGCGCCCTCGGGACACAATCTCCTCTCCGAGGTCCCGTTTCAGCAGTGTTGCGTTGGGCATAAAGGTCCCAGCACACGGATTTTGGGGTTCACATTCAAATCCTGCTGAGTCAAGGAGAGGCGTTGGCTTTCGGGTTCAGTATCAGTGCCTGGGTTCCACTCCGGGCTCATGACCCCAGCTTCCTACTAACGCAGACCCTGGCAGCTTCTGCCATTCTCATGGGAGCCCTGGATTGCATTCCTGGCTCCCAGCTTCAGCCCTAGCCTAGTCCTGGCCATGGCGAGCACTTAGGGTGTGAATCAGTGAATGGGAAACTCACTCTCTCTCTCTCTCTCTCTGCCTTCCCAGTAAATAAATAAGTAAAACAAAAATCCATAGCAAATGATATCTTTATATTTTCCCATCTCCTACTCTGTGATATATTCCCACCTTTGCCACCTCTCATGGACGGAATAACTACGGCCCAGGGAAATAATCTCAAATCCACACAGAACAAAATCTAGAAGACAGAGCACCAGACTCCTGGTGCCCTTTTCAGAGATCCTGCTGTTCCACACACGTGATCTGCAACTTGAGCTTTTAGGTTTATTCAAGGATCTGGGGACACTTGCCGAGACCCCCGGCACCAGCAGCTCCACCAAGTGGCCCAGCCTCTCTGGAATCCACTGGGCTTGTTTGTAGAGATCAGACAGCCTTGCTTGGTTTCAGTTCAGGGTCACCATATCAGCAAATACTAATAAGCCTACACAGGGGATGTTTCTGAGCAACTGAGTATTGAATGTGAAGAGAAAATATAGGTGGGAACACTGTGTACTGTGAAACATAACAATAGACAGGCATATTCTAACGTGATTCTAAGTGATTACTTGCTAAACGACCATTGACTCCTGGCCCTGGGGAACTCTGGGGAGCCCTGAGCAAGGCGCCCGTTCCAGCCCATGTGCTGTGGCTAATTAGCCCCAACTACATTTCACATAAGGGTTTCCTCCCTGGTGAACTTTCATATTCATCAGGAGAACAGATCCGGCAGTCCTTTGATTGAGTTTTTCTAATTAAATTACAAATGGTAATTGCTTCTTCCTCTTGAAACGAAGATCTTAGATTTCATCACCGAGTTCCAACGTCCACAAGTTATCTGAACTATTTTTAAAAAACCAAGTGGTGCTTGCTTTGGCAGCACATATACTCAAAAACCAAGCAGTCTTTATAGCATAGGTAGTGTTTGGAGAAGTAGCAGTTTCCTATTTGACAATAGCCACCACAATATGGTTATCTAGCTGTGCCTGGTTATAATTATTGCTAAAGGGATGAGGATAACGCACTCTACTGTGAGTATGACATGGAGAGAGTATGCAGGAAGATTAGATAGGAGATGAGCTGAAATTGCTGCCAGCCCCACATTGTCACTGTGTACCCTCACCTGTCAGTTTGATACACCTACTTTCCCAGGATGCACCTGTGTCTCTTCCAGGAGCAGGAAGGGGGAGACACCATGATAGCCACGTGGGAATTAAACTCCATGTGGAGACACAGTGAACATTCCAGAAAGCTTCTTGCACACTGAACTCCACCAGGCTCCACCCGCTACCTCATAAAAGAGGGTGGTAATATGGGAGGGGCCCTTTTTTGCTCTTGAGCACGCTTGGGGATCTTTCTCAGGCCTCCTGCTTCCCCTCTCTCTCCTCCTAGGCAACACTTTGCTTCACATGTGACAGGTATCTCTCTGTGGGTGGCCCATACTAACGTGTGAATGTATGTTAACTCTCTCTCTTTTAAATAAATCTTGCTCTCACTTGTGCACGGTATTTATGCCTCTGCCTTGAGCTTTTAGCTCTGTGTGGGCAAGAAAATCCCATACGGGTGCCAGTTTGTGTCCCGGCTACTGCATTTCCAACCCTGCTCATGCTAATGTACCTGGGAAAGCATTGGAAAATGGCCCAATTCTGGCTTCTGGCTTCAGCAGGCCCAGCCCTAGCCATTGTGGCTATCTAGGGAGTGAACCAGTAGGTGGAAAATCTCTCACTTTGTCTCTCCCTCTTTCTCTCTGTAACTGTCTTTCAAATAAATAAACTAAATCTTTTTTTTTTCTTTTTTTTTTTAACTTTTATTTAATGAATATACGTTTCCAAAGTACGAATAATGGATTACTATGGCTTCCCCCCCATACCGTCCCTCCCACCCACAGCCCTCCCCTTTCCCACTCCCTCTCCCCTTCCATTCACATCAAGATTCATTTTCGATTATCTTAATATACAGAAGATCAGCTTAGTATACATTAAGTAAGGATTTCAACAGTTTGCTCCCACACAGAAACATAAAGTGAAAAATAATAGATGATTTTTTTTAATGATGATGAAATCAGATCAGACCTATTGTCATGTTTAATCCCAGTGAGAGTCAAGTTGGGAGTTGATAGTTTCTTTTCTTTTCTTTTTTTTTTTCTTTTTTCTTTTTTTTTTTTTTACAGAGGATCAGTTTAGTATGCATTAAGTAAAGATTTCAACAGTTTGCACCCCCATAGAAACACAAAGTGAAATATATTATTTGAGTACTCGTTATAGCATTAAATCTCAATGCACAGCACATTAAGGACAGAGATCCTACATGAGGAGTAAGTGCACAGTGACTCCTGTTGTTGACTTTACCAATTGACACTCCTGTCTATGGCATCAGTAATCTCCCTATGCTCCAGTCATGAGTTTCCAAGGCTATGGAAGCCCCTTGAGTTTAAACTAAATCTTAAAAAAAAATACAGAAATAGCAAGTTATCATACAACAATTTTAAACTGTTTTTCTATAATGAAGTCTTTGATTGATTAAGGTTCTGTAATAAATTATATTTAAAGAAGAATTGAAACTCATTTCAGTTCTTCCATTTAACTCATTTGGAACGTGAAGGGACTTCAAAAATTCATGGAAAATTGAATTGAAAGATAGCTTATTTTGAAGAAAAGAAGTTTTGAAATCCGTGCAAAGCTATCATAATGCACATTTCCCATGAGCTCTCTCAAGATCTCTTTTCCAGCACAGAAACAGCAAACATCTCTTTCAGGGGCTCCAGCTTATTTGAAAAAGTTTCTTTAATTACTCTACTCTTCAGAGACCAAGCTGTCCTGATCTTTTGCCATGCTGACTGCCTTCAGTATACTTTAAATATCAGTGTCTTTGTGAAAATGAAAGGAACATTGCACTGAAAACAAGATTCAAGGAGCATCTTGGGGCCTGTGTTGTGGTGCAGTGGGTTAAGCTGCCACTTGCAACACCAGCATCCCATATCTGAATGCCATTTCAAGTCCCGGCTGCCTGTTTCCAGTGTAGCTCCCTGCTAGTGCTCCTGGGAAGGCAGTGGAAAATGACCCAAGTACTTGGGATCTGCTATCCATATAGGAAGACCTGTATGGAATTCCAGGCTCCTGACTTTGGCCTGGCCTAGCTCTGGCTGTTGTGGCCACTTGGAGAGTGAACCAGCTGATGGAAGCTCTCTCTGTGTCTCTACCTATCTCTCTGCCACTCTGCCTTTCAAATAAATAAAATAAATCGTAAAACAGAAAAGTAACATAAAGAAAGAGCTTCTCAAAATGGAGTGAAGAGATGAGTAGGAAGCAGGCCTTAAACACATCTCTAGTACTGCTTACAAGGTGATCTTTGGTCACCTGGACTCTGGGATCTCACAGGCATCTGGAATGACCTAAATAAGCAATCACGTTGTATTCGGAGGCTCGAGACCCATAGTGTGAGGCTATCGGATCCTTGCCTTCTCCACATTTCCATTCTGTTTGTACATTCTTCTCATTATCGGTCTCTCATTCGTGCAGCCCCTGCTTCTTCTTCACAGATAAGCTCCCACTATGCCTGCCCTCCTCCGAACACGGATTCAGAGCTATCTGAATTTGTGTCTCCCATATAGCAATTCCAAAGACCCCAAACAATATTCCTTTTACTTTTATGGTTTTTGAATTTTAATTGATCGACCTCATCTCAAAATGTCTGAACTTAAATCTGCAATCCACATCTTACCACTACAGGGGAAAAAAGTTCAGTAATTGGTGCTATGGAAACCTCAAAAGATTGCAGCAAGGCTATTGAGTAAACGTCCTGTGTTCCAGAAGAAGTGCCATTTGGCAGTCAGGTGGCAGAAACCTTGACAGAAATGCTCATTAATAATAGCTGATGTGACACAGGGGATTCAGAGATGGGAAAGTGTGTGTGCCTAGGAAGACTTTGTGCCGTAAGTCAGCCCTCACTCTCTCAGAAAACTCATCCAGACAAAATTCCCTATGAATGCAACGGAGGTAGAAAAACCAGCAAAATTACAGAGAGAAAACATTGTAAAAGTGTAAGGTGTGTGGAAAAACCCTCTGCCTGAGTCACCCTCAGCAGGTGGTAGGGGATTCACATGATACAGAATAATCCTGTATGACAGACTGGCTATATGTTCTTCAAAATGTACTTTTTTGATTTGACATAGAAGCTACAATTTTTTGCTTACCCTTATTGCTTTCCCT